AAAGAATAAGGATATAAAGAAAGAGAATATTTTTGTAGAGCTGTACAATGTTCGTGTTTTAAGCCATGTTATTCCAAGAGTAGAAAAGTTAAAAAAATTAAAAAGTTTATAAAGAAAATTGTTACAGTCAGCTAAGGTTAATTTATTATTAAACAATTATTTTTAATACGTTTAGTGTAGCCTAAGTGTACAGTGTTTATGAAGTTTACACTGGCGTGCAGTAACGTCCTAGGCCTTCACATTCACTCGACACTTGGAGAAACTTCCAGTCCTGCAAGCTCCATTCATGGTAAGCGCCCTATACAGGTGTACCATTTTTTATCTTCTATATTTCTACTGAAACTTTTCTGCATTTAGATATACAAACAGTTCCCACTGTGTTACAATTGGCTACAGTATTCAATACAGTGACATGCAGTACAGGTTTGTAGCCTAGGAGCCACAGGCTGTACCACACAGCCCAGGTGTGTAGCAGGCTGTCCCATGTAGGTTTGTGTAAGTAACCCTATGGTGTTCACACAGCGATGTAGTTACCTCATGATGCATTTCTCAGAACAATGTTGTTAAACAATGCATGACTGCACTAAAAAGTATTGAATAGTACACTTTAAGTGGGTGAATTGCATGGCATGTGGATTATATCTCGCTGAGCTGCTATTAAAAAAGACTGAAGGGTCACCTCTGAAGAAGCAAGAATGACACGAAATCCCAGAGGAAAGCACAGGACTGAGAATGGAGAATAAAGCCAAGAAGACCGGGCGACGTAGACACAGAAACAGCACCTGAGATGAGAAACTGAGGCTGGAGCAAATCAAGGAGGTGCTGGAGCAGGATGAAGGCTGAAGTTCACAGTTACTGGGGGCTGTTGTTTGGCATGTGGGTGGGTCAGCTCCACTGAAACAAACCGATCCTGAATTTCTCAGTGTATTGGGCAGCCTAATTCGGCAGCTTGTGGCTCCTCCCTTCCTCGTGAACAATCCATATTGCAGATTCTTCCTACTCCTGCTTTCCAAGGGTGGGAGAAAGGCTGACCTGTTCCTCTGTAGACTACCGAATATTTGTTGGTAGCACTAGAAGCAGTAGCAGTACGGGTGATACTTGTACCAGCCAACATGGAGCCGTTACTATGTGCCAGGCATAACTCTAAACTGCTTTCCATTATTAACCCATTTAATTCCTCAGGATAAGCCCGTAGATAAGTACTGTCATTCTCCTCATTTTACAGGAGAGAAACTGAGGCACAGGACAGTTAGGTACCTTGTCCTAGCTCAGACGCCTAGTGAGTGGAGAACATTGTTTTTGATCTTAGTGGGGGTAACTGCGTGCAGCAAATTCATGTTCTGTCCAGGCGCTACACTGGAATGAAGACTACTGGGGTCCCTTGGTTGCCTAGCTCGGCACACAGGTCCTCGAGCACAGCATGGGCACTCCAGCGAGGCAGGGTCGGTGTGTGAGCCCACCCTCCCCTGAAGTCCCAGGGAGGGACTTCCTCCTTCCGAGGCTCCGTATGCCATTCCAAGGAGTAGACGGGTAAGAAAAAAGGAAGACAGGAATAAATGTGGCCAGTGTGGCCAATCCACAGCCCCAGACCTCGGATCAGGGCAGAGAATCCATCCAGTCATCACTCAGCACTCTTCATTCACTCTTTCATTTATCAGACAGCATTTATCAAGTGACCTCTCACGTTCAAGGGCAGCAACTGGGCTAAGAATGGGACTAGAAAGAGAAGAAAACAAGGGCTTTGTTCGGGAGGAACTTCTGGGCTCAGTAGAGACACAGCTCCGTGCAATTACCTTCACATATTGGGGGTGGGCCTTCGAACTGCAGGTAAGTTCCAAGCTTGCAGGTTAGGATTTCACTCCCCACTAAGGTGAACCCAGGGAGGCATCTGTAGCGTACGATGTCACCTGTCAAAGAGAGACCAGCACGCGGGTTCTCTGGAGAAGTCCAGACAGGGCTGATAGGGGGCCCTCAGTTCCCTCGAACCCCTTTCCAGACAAGATAATCAGTGATGGGTCATGTTCTGCTCAGACTTGGTAACTGTAGCCCCCCTCTCACGGCCCAGTCTTGCCTGAACCTATGAATGTTTCATATTGCAGGAAATTTTGTACTCTCTTGTATGGATTTGTTTCTCAAAAACGTGCTGACTTGAATCGCAGAAAGCACGTTCCCAGCTCCTCTTCCAGGGTATGGCTAAAAGGAAGGCTGACTGTATTTTGGGTGCACACTCAGCTGACAGAATACCAACGCTCTGGCAACGAACCCTGGGGCCTATTGTTTCTCTCTCCATGGATGAGAGGGAGAGATGACACTGGCTGGACAGCCCCACCTCTACCAGGTCGCTCCCCCGTTCTCCCCCAGCCCTGGGCTCGCAGTCGTTGCCGGCTTGGGACTAGTACCTATGTTGAATTCTTCATTCTCTGTGACGACTTCGGCGTTGGGGAGGATGGTGGGAGGAGGGCATTTGGTGAGTGGATAAGCTGAAAAGATAAAAGTAGACAAGTCAGGGTGACATCATTCTTGGGGCACGTAGCCACTCATTGGTTCTTCAATTTTGCATTCCTCACTCATTCCTACGACAGACGCTCATGAGCATTGTCTGTATGCAGGGCAAGTTCAGCCAAGTCCTGTCTTGCTCATCTTCTGCAATCCTTATTGAAATTAACAACAAAGGGAGGAGGACCTAGGAGGAAGCCAGTGGCACAGGCACCAGCACACTGAAGGCAGGAGAGGGGCATTTGCTGAGCACCTCCTGTAGATCAGGCAATTTCAAAGGCTGCCCCTGTAAGCCCCTCAACACCTGATCACGCTGTGAGGTGTCCGTACCCTACTCGTGAGCAAGTAAGATTCAAAAGGTGAAGTTACTTCTGCAAGGTGGCACAGGAATTAAGTGGCACAGGCAGGATTTGAATCCAGGTCTGGCTACTCTCAAATCCCATATTCTTCCCATTGCTCTACGTACTGTGTGGGGCCTCTGTGAACACCCACTGAGGTCTGCTAACAAGCTGACCCTTCTGCGCTTTGACCAGACACTTCTGGCTTCTGTGAATCTTCTAAACAGGAGTCCGTCCCTACGGGCAGAGACTGGATGGTGCTTGGGGGCAGGGTGGTGTTACCGGGGCAAAGCTCAGTGCGGGCTCATAACTTGGCTCCCATTGCCTGGCACGTAGTTAAGCGCTATACAAGTCTTAATTGCTGTTGCCCCCGCTGCTGCTGTTGCCTTTATTATTATTATCACTGTTCCACATCCATCCCACTGCTATGTTTTTAAAAAATGGTGTTCTTTTTTTAAAAATACAAATGTAATACATTGTCATTTAAGAAAAGCTGAGATTTTCTTCGAAGGCAGTAGCAAGAAAGTCAAACTCATCTATTGCCTTCTCAGAGATAACCAGTTAACTTTTTATTCTAAGTTCTTAGGGTGTTTATTTTATGAATATATAAGTATTTTTCTCCTATACAATTTGCACCATATGTTATATATTTCATGTTAATCCTCGTACACTTACT